CCTCGAATCCGCATTTTTGTAAGGAGCTTGTGTTTCCAGAGGTTCGTCCCTTGAGCTCTGTATTACATATATGTAGTATTGATGATTTTCATGCACACTTTCTGAAGTTGAAATTGTGTGTTTTTGTTAAACACAAAACTACACAATGGGCTATCTGTACTGTGCCCACCACGAGTATTGAAACCCGAATTTTAGCGCAAAAGCCTTGAGACTTATCGCTGATCCACTAGGAGGAGGTGCAAAGTTGAAATGTCACGTGTTTTTTTACATAAGGTCTTTCTCATCTTATACTTATCTTTACTGTAATTTTATGTTCACCTATTTTACAAATTATTTGTTATTTCCATGGGAAGTCAAGTGGAATATGTTATTAATACATCCATCGGTTGTTTTCATTAGGAAAGATTTGTTTCCGCTAAGTTGTCATCTTACGGGTAGTTCATAATCGACAAGCTTTTCAAATGTTGATGCTACTGAATGTAGAGCAATAAGTGATCAATTCTGATATCAAACGTTTTTAATATATGGTTTTATGCTGGTATCAATAACATTGGTTATCGACAGAGACACAATTGCTATTTCTACAACGATACATGAAATGAAGCAGCAACGTTGCGGTTTGTTTAAGACGTTTCGAATTACTCCTATAGTTGACAAGACAAAAAGAGATAAAAAATTAAATATCCAACTGATTTTATTTCATAACACTGCCTTTTGGCAAATCAATTGCACAAGAAAAGCATTCTAGTTTAATTACGAAAAGCTTTTTTAAGGATAAAAAAAATCCTTAATACTGATCCTACAGCTGTTGTTTTTTTTAAAATGTAAAGCAAATACAAAACAATTCATACTGTACATTTTCCATAGAAATAAAAGTTTGAGACTGTACCTTTAACAACATAGAGATGAAAACAAAAAACAGTCCATAACTTGGGGAAATGAAAATATGCGCTATGCTGATGATTTTAAGTTCGGCTTCAGACTCACACGAATCTTCAACTGCACTTCATCCCAACCTCTTCTGAAGATGAACTGTAATTGTTGTCACAAATATACACGAGGAAAATATTTAATTTTGTGACAAGTAATTGATTAAACACTCGATTTTTTTTCCCAAAAGGCTTCCGTATAAAATAAGTTACCAAGAAAAAATTAATTATTTTGTATAGTGTAAGGAACTTGAAAATATCATTTTGTTGTTCACTATCATCATATAAGTATTTTAATTTGCTAAATATACAACAATAAGCTAAACATATCGAATTGGTGTATTTAAGTGTTTTACACTCACAAAATGGCCCGGCATGGCCAGGTGGTTAAGGCACTCGACTCGCAATCTGAGGGTCGCGGGTTCGAATCCCTGTCACACCAAACATGCTCGCCCTTTCAGCCGTGGAGGCGTTATAATGTGACGGTCAATCCCACTATTCGTTGGTAAAAGAGTAGCCCAAGAGTTGGCGGTGGGTGGTGATGATTAGCTGCCTTCCCTCTAGTCTTACACTGCTAAATTAGGGAGGGCTAGCGCAGATAGCCCTTGTGTAGCTTTGCGCGAAATTCAAAAACAAACAAACACTCACAAAAAAGAAATCTATCATTCTATAAGTATTTGAAGAACTTGTAGCATTTCACCACAATTTAATTCTTCGTATTGTTAGCCGACACTGGGCAACTTGTACATAATTGAATAAATAGAGTTGTTTAAACAAGCTGCCCAGTGTCCGCTAACAATACAAAGAATTAAATTGCGGTGAAATGCTACAAGTTCTTCATATACCTATAGAATGATAGATTTCTTTTTTTGTGAGTGTAAAACACTTAAATACACCATTTCGATTTTCGATACCTCACTGCTATAAAGGCTTGGTTTGGTCTGAAATTTCAACCTATCTGCCCTTTCAGCTGAGGTTACTCGACGTCTTCATCTCCTCCGTTCTCTCACCGGTACCTTCTGGGTCCTGAACCCTCCTCTTCTGCTATACACATACAAGACATTTATCAGACCCTGCTTAACCTATGGACATACAGTCTGGATATCTGCTTCTCTGCCCTTCTACTCTCGTCTCCAGGTTTTGGA